AACAAAAAACCAAACAGTGTCAATTTTAAAATGGATCACTATTTTTCGGTAATCGTATCTTTCGTAAGTAGAATGTTGTGCCTAAGGCAATTATTTTAAAGGTCTCACTCTGTTGCCAGGCTGGAGTACAGTGGCGCACTCTTGGCTTACTGCAAACTCGAGCTCCCAGGCTCAAGCACTTTGGCCTCCCAAAGCGCTGGGATTATAGGCATGAACCATAGCACCCGGTCGACACTAGCATCTTTATTTGTGTATTTCCATGTATGTCCTAACATATTCAAATAGTTTGATTAATAGGCTTTTCCACTAAAATAGGGCAAAAAGAAATCCTCAGCATTAATCTAATATGCCTTAAACTGCTGATTCTGACTATGATATGGAAATGTTCAGTGGTAAAAATTGTAACAAATACTTATTTGCATAATTGCATAAAGGGCGAGTCATGTTTAATAAGGAAAAGAAGTACTAGTATTTGGGTAGACTTTTGATCCTCCTCCTCTTTCAAAAAATTAAGGAGAGATGTGTATTATTTCACTATAACATGTTTTTCTTAAATCCAATTAAACTGACCATTCTCTTATTTAGGCAAGGTGTTTTTTAAGGAAGAAATAATTTGGGGCACTTTGACCAAGGAGAAATAAAAGATGTTGTTTTGCTTTGGTTTTCTTCCCTAGGAGCCTTGGTCATCATTTGATGTATACACCCGAAGTGGGCGGCTGGAAAACACAAAGCGTAAGGTAAGAAGAAAATAATACCTTTTCCTTTTTCTCCCTACGCGACATATTTTTTATTTTATTTTTTAGGACTATTTGGTAGTCTGTATTTAACTTTCTAATTTTGAAATATCTAGAAACGTTCTTTAAACATATCTTACTACTTTTAATGAATCGGAAGTGTTTTAGAGGAGTTTTATCAGCTGTTATACAATGGATGCTGGCATAGTAGTAGGCTTAAAAACAGAATTTAAGTTCTCTTCTTATCTCTTTTGAAATGAAGGTACATCTCAAATTTGGAAAATAAAATCATTTTAAGAAGTTTTTCACTATTTGGAACGGATGGAGAACTGGACTCCCTAGCAATCCTATGCTACACATTAATTATACACCATAATATATTTGAATCCGCAATAATCAAGATCAACAACCAGCAAAAAATATAGGATTCAAAGCTTAATCGAATATTGGAGAACCGAGTATGTAACAAGTATGTTTAACATTTGCCATAAATCAAACTCTGGCATGTGCATGGGAGGCCAGAGTCTCTGTATAATGACTTTCGAAGAATGTAGAGGCTCAAAGTGAGAACTAAAAAAGTTCTGGCGCTCAATTCTTATAGGTATCACTATCCCGCCGACACTGAGACAAATCTGAGAGATGAGCCATGATAACATAGATACAATATTATTATAGATTAGGTTTAAGCAAGTTCAATATTTAATTAGCACAAGTGGAGAGAACAAGTAAAAAAATATATAAATAATATGTAGGTCGTAAGGAGAGGAGAGAGGAAAGGTAGATTTTTTTGTTACTAGCTAAATCCACTTTACCCACCTAGCCGTTTTACGATCTTCTCTTATCCCACGGAACCGTGTAATGACGAAATGATAGCAAGCAATGAATGTATTAAGGATCACAATTAAGTGTATAGAAACATGAATAGGAATATAAGGAACAACTCGTTTTGATTGCATTGAATCTATTTTGTCAGCACTCCTGAATACCTAGCAAACTGACTAAGCTCATATCACTTTTGGTCTCTCCTAAACACAAATAACACGAGAGATATAACATCCATTATGCTTAAGACCAACCGGTCAGAGAATCACTAGCATTCTACAATTTTGAGTGTTGCTTATTCAGATAAAATGATATAGTTGTCAAAAACCATATTCAAAATAAGTTAACATCTATATAATCTGCTGTTCTTACACACTTAATTATTTTTTAAAGAGGCAAGAAAGGAACATTCAATCACTCAGCCCTTACCAAATCATATCCTAAGTACGTCCTTTCCTTTTTCATAATACTGAAGATACATCTTGAGACTCAGCTGACCCTATGGATAATATTTGATCAATAGGTGAAACAAATATAGAATCAAATGAGTTAACCTATTTTGCATAATTACCACCTAAGGAAGCGCGATCCATAGTCATCGATTATACCCCCAGAAACGATGAACTAGCGTATTTATGGAGGGCCATCCATTTTTGATGATCTCATCTACCTCCTCTTTTCACTGAGAATTTGTTTATGAGCGCGCCATAATGTTTTTAAGTTGGAAAAAGTTAAATTAATAAACAAATACTATTTTGTACATATAATCTCTAATAAATCTGACCATGCTACACTTCATTAATTGGTAAGCAAAGCGGTACATTTTAGAGAAGGAAAATAGCCAGTGTGGCGGACACCTTCTTCGACCAGAGGGCAGAAAATGAGAGATTGGCTTATGGTGTTCATTGCCCCTTTAAGCTTATTGGTGTTTCTTCCCTTAGGAGCCCCTGGCGATGCAGCTTTCATGGTCCAGAAGGTTATCTTGACCTACCGGCGAACACCTGGCGCGAGGCTGATATATACCACAAGAGCGAAGGTCACCAAGAAGAGTAAAAGACACAATCCCGCCCTATTTCCTTTTTCTCACTACGCCCAGAACACAGATGATTGATTTATCGACTACCTTTTTAGGACTATTTGGTAAGTCTGCATTTAACTTCTAATTTTTGAAATATCTAGAAAACGTTCTTTAAAACATATCTTACTACTTTTAATGAATCGGAAGTTGTTTTAGAGGCAGTTTGTATCAGACTGTAGTATACAATGGATACTGTGCATAGTAGTAGCGCTGAAAAACAGAATTTATAGTTTCTCCTTCTTATCTCTTTTGGAAAGAAGGTACATCTCACATTTGGAAAAATAAAATCATTTGAATATTCATTCGTAATTTGACTTAATTAGAATCAAAATTTTAATGACTTATTATATCGATTAGAAATTCTGATATTCGAGGTCTAGAGATCGAACCAACATCCAACACACTAGTGAAACCCACCTCCTTTAAAATACAAAAAATACCCGGTGTGGGGCGCACAGCCTGTAGTCCCAGCTACTCAGGCGGCTGAAGCAGGAGCATTCATCTTGAACCTGGTGCAGAAAGGAGGTTGCAGTGAGCCAAGACTGTGCACTTGCACTTAGCTGACGACAGACGTGAGAACTGCCCTCCCTAAAAAAAGAAAAAAAAAAAAAAAATTGTGAATATTAACTACTTTTATTACCATGTGAATTCACTGATAGGTACTTCTTGTATTTTTAACCCAGGAGTTACGGGCCTTATATTTTTTGTTCCATGTTTTTAATCTGTATGCTAAGAACCAAAGGACCAACGTTATAGTTCTCCATTTAGTTTATCATCAGGCATTTTGGAAATTCCTAATAAAATAGCTAAAGTTTACACAAAATTTTTTGACCAATCATTCCAGGAAGTTTTACTTTAGAATTCAGATACCTGTCTCTTTAATTTGAAGGCTTAAAAAGAAAAAAAGAAATTAAATTGCTAACGATGGCCTAATTCTCAGCATAACAGTAGTCTGAAAGATCCCCTGTTGCTTGCCTTGCTTAATGTTTTTTTTCTCCACACATTGGCACTAAAGGAAAGATAAGTTACCAGTTTTGCTTTCATTGATGTGATTTTAGAGTGTCAGTCATCATGTGCTTTTAGTTCTGTGACTATTTTACTACAGCATATTTGATGGCTGGTCTCAAAACACAGATAGGAAATTACTACCATTTTTGTCTATACAGTACCAGTTGATCTATTGGGGACTTATCCAAATATCCACAAATGAGCAATCCCTGGTATAAAAAGTTTCTCGAGTTTTTCAGCAAGAAGATGATGAAAACTTAAGTTTTTTGCGCCCAGCTTAAAAATACAAACTTGTGCCTGGCGTGGTGGCTCACTCTTAATCCCCGCACTATGGGAGAGCAAGGCGGGTGGGATCACAGAGGTCAAGAGTTTTGAGACCCGAGCCTGCCAACTACTGAAACGCTGTCTTCATACCGAAAATACTAAAAATTAGCCTGGTGTGGTGGTGTGCACCTGTCAGTTCCCAGCTATCAGGAAGTCTGAGGGTGGAGAATCTACTTAAACCTGGGAGACAGCAGTTTGCATGTGACTGAGACCGCGATGCCCATCGCATTCCGCCTGGGTGACAGAGTTGAGACTCTGTCTCAAAAAAAAAACAAAGTGTTCTGGTAATGTATATACATAAAACTTTTTAGGGTTGCAACGATGAAAAAGCAAAGTCCCATATGTTTT